GGATGAGGTGGGAGGGAAGGAATTTAGAATTCAGATTTTTTAAAAGCAAATGTCAAAAAATGTTTGTACGTGTGGTTGTGGAAAAAATAAAATATTGCATTTAAAACAAAATGAACACTAAGGTGTATAGTAATAGCCGTAAGAACTGTACCTGTGATTTCATTATATGGAGCTCCAACAACATATCCTGCCATCTTCTCTATAACATAATCTTAGAGCATTGACTGCAGCTAGGATGTTAAGATCACATAACCAGTATAGTAATTTTAATAGTGTTTTGTTTTTCCCCCAGTTACAGTTTAGAATAATTTTCATATTTTTTTATGTTTTGAATTTCAGGTTCTATTCCTTCCTCCCTCCTTTTCTTTCCCCCTCCCTGAGACAAGAGATGGTTCAGTGTGGTTTGTGTATGTGTAGTTATGTAAAAGAAAAAAAACACCACTGAGTTATTGTCATCATCATTTAACATAATTAAACACCAAGTAACTGAGATAATACTGCACATTCTTAATTGCAGTGGCATAATAAGCTCCAAACTAAGTTTTGTAGGGTCTTTGATTTAGAGCTGGAAAGGACCTTTGAGGTTATGTGGTTTTATTCCCTCACTTTTACGATAAGGAAATTGAGACCCAGAGAACTGAAGAAATCTGTTCAAGGTCACGGAAATAGTAAGTAGTAAAAGCCAGCGGTTTGAGCTCAGATATTCTTTTTCTTTTAACTTTCATCTTTTAAGTTCCAAATTCTGTCTCCCTCCCCACTCCCTGAGAAGGCAAGCAATTGGGTTTTACATGTGCAGTCACGTAAAACATATTTCTGTATTAGCCATGTTGCAAAAAAAAAAAAAGAGAAGGGGAAAAAAGTACGCTTCTATCTGCCTTCAGACTCTGTCATGAACTTAGGTATTCTAACTACAAATCCTGAATACATGTGCTACTCAGATAACTACTCACATTAAGTTACTCATTTAGATCTCCTAATGGCAAAATTGTTATAGTCTAAAGTAAGTAATTTTGCAAACTACAGAGGAGACAAAAACAATGTTCTTTCCTTATAATAAAATTTTTTAAATGAGTAGTATTTCAGTAAGAAATTGTAACATTGGCTGTAAACACTTTTTACCAATAATTGCCAAAATTGGTTATAAAGTATTGATGTGAAAAGCACTATGAGTAAAGGGCATCTGAAATAATTAGATTATATTAAAACAGTTCTAAAGTATATGTGTGTGGGTGGCCATTGGAAGAGAGATGAAGTATTTAGTGTAGGTCAGTGCAGTCTTTGTTTAAGCAAATGCCAAAGCTATAGACTCCATTCATTTCCCCTTAGGCTAGATTCCTTACGTGCACCATGATTGAATGATTGACTTCTCTGCTGGCATTTAATACTGCTGATTATCCTAACCATCTTGAAACTTTCATCTCTAGACTTTGTCAACATTATGGTATCTTCATTCTAATCTTATTTCTCCATTCACTTTCTTTTTCTGAAACAGTGAATTTTGGAAGAAATTGATTTACTATACAAGTTTGACTTTCATCAATTTCATATATATATGTATATATATATATATATGTATATATATATGTGTATATATATATACACACACATACACACACATGTATATATATATGTATATATGCACATTATTTTTTGTATGTATATATATGTGTCAGTTTTAGTGAGAAAACACTCTGGGATTCGCAGTAGAAATGAATTGCCTCTTCCTCCTGCTCTTTTTACCCTTTTGCTGGAAGATGCACTCGTCTTGAATGTAATCAAGATGACCTTTCTAGAGCCCTTCTATGATTGTTCAATCAGCATAATGATAATATGTGATGTTTACATGAAACTTTTATTCCTAATGTATTCATAATCATTAGTTAATTCATTCAGCATCCTTGAAAAGTTAGTTATTATTCCTAGTTTATAGATAATAGAATATAAAAAGAAAGAGTATAAGGGAATAACTTCATCTTTATGGGGAAATCTTTGACAGACCCAAAGTACAATCTCAGAAAATCTGAACCATTGATCAGTCTGTTGAGTTCTGTTATCCCACAAGATTATCTAGGATACCAGATTGTTTCTAAAACAGTATGTAATCTAGTGAGCTTATGAAAGCATTGTAGTGTAATGGAAAGAGTACTGAGCTGGCGATTAGAAGATAGGGGTTCAAAACCTAGCATTTCTGCTTAGCAGTTGAGTGACTTTGGGCAAGTCACAACCTCTTGAAGATCAGCTTCCTTATCTGTAAAATGTGAATACTAATACTCATAGTGCCTTTTCATGGAATTGTTCTAAAGATCAGTAAAATAAGGCATGTGAGAATGTTTTGAAAACTCAGTCACTGTACAAATATAAGCAACTGTTATTGTCAGGGTCCCACAAGTAATGATACTAAGTGCTCCCAAAAGAATGTGAAAGGTTTCAGAAGGTGTTGTCAAAAACAGAGTTGCCATTAACCTTGTGATACAAAGTCATTGTTGCCCAAAGAGCTCTTCAAGGTGTGTGTGGGGGGGGGGTGCGTGCATATGCATGCTTTTGTGTGTATGTACATAAGGTAATTTGTATTACCAGACTATCACATCATTTCCCCAAGAATGCATGTACAGGAGAACATAAACACTGACATATAAGCCATCTATGGGCAGTCAGCTGTTACCTGTTAGGCACCTACTGTATGCCAGGCACTGGATTAGGCATTGGTACTGCAAAGACCAAAAAATGACAGCTTCTGATCTCAAGGAGCATCTATTCCATCAGGGGAGACGATATATACATTATATGAGTCTATACAGAAGAGATAGATACAGATACAAAGTAGAGAGGGCCATTTTGGGGGTGGGGATCAGGAAAGTGTAGAAGGGAATACTTCAGCTGATGTTGTAGGAAGTGAAGGATTAGTTTAGGAGAAAGTACATGCCAGGCATGAGGGATGGCCAGTGCAGAAGCATGTAGACAGGTGATGGAGGGTTGTTTTGTTGTGTGAGAGGACACCAGTATGGTGTAGTAAATAGAGTGCTGGGCCTGGAGTCAGGAAGACATAAGTTCAAATCTGACCTCAGACACTAGCTGTGTATCCTTAGACAAGTCATTTAACCTTTTTGTGCCTTAGTTTCTTTATCTGTAAAACGATGAACTTGGATTTGTTGTTCTCTGAGATTCCCTGCTAGCCCTCCATCTATGATGCCATGATCTTCCCCCTCAAGAGCTAAGTTGCTTTTGCCACTAAGGTCTCACCTTCCTCTACCTCTAATTATCACAATTAGTTCTGTACAAGGCACATGGAGCTAGTTTAAAAACACCAGCCCAGGGGGTCCTTGGTTTTCTCTGTTTTTATCTACTTCTAGCTAGAAGACTTAGAGAGGAAGAGAGGCTGATGCCCATATTGGGGCTTTTGCTGCCTTCTTTTTCTTACAACTCTACTGCCATGCTAACAACACTCATTATTATTTTTATCATTATTATTCCCTGACTCTGCTACAAATATCTTGCATAGCATTCGTCCCCGTAACCAATATCCTTTTGCAATAAAATATTTAATTTATTGTAACCAAACCCCACTATAATATTACAAAACTTCATCAGATCATAGGAGTTGGAATTGACCATAGAAGTCATCTGGTTCAATGCCTTTATTTTGCAGATATGTCCAAAAATATTTAATTATTGATCCAAGGTCGCATAGGTAGCAAGTATCATTGCTGGGAGTTGAACTCTCTGTGCATGCTGCTTCCTTCCTTTGTCTGATTATTTGAGATAGCCAATTATAGATCTAAGCTTAATGCTCTCTCAAATATTATCCATTTAATTTCCTGCTGTAGCAGAATCATTAAGCAACATTAGGTGGATTACACCTGATATAGTTATATAGTCCTTCACATTACTTATAATATACTTTAATTACCCATGTACAGCTTGGATTGCAGGCTTAGTTTAGTTCCAGCCCTGAAAGAAATTCCATACCATAGGCATGTATAGTCTGTATTTCCACTAATAAAAATATACTTCCACCGAAAGGAGAAAACAAATAGTTGACTCATTCAAAAATAATAAGAACTGTAACATTCTAATTTGACGTTAGGCACAAGTACAAAACATACTGAACTATTAGTATTTGTTGGGATAAGAAATCAGAAGGAAGTTGAAGTTTTACACTTGGTACAAATCAAAGGAAAATATATATATATATACAATGCATTATGAAAATATTACCTTTCCAGTTAAAAGCAGGTAGCCTTCAACAGGGGATAACTAGGAGAGTTGACCGTAAGTAGCAGCAAGAGTTCCAGTTAATCCCATTCATATTTTGAATATTCTTGTTAGCAGCTGACATTTGGAGTGTTGAAATGTAAATTGTTCTTGAAATAAAGTTCATTTTCTTTAGCTTCTTCATAGATCACAGTTATTTATAGTATTTGACTGGAAAACTCACCTTCTACAGTTTTTTTTTTTAAATTCATAGTATCACATATAATTGTATGCATTCAGTTTCTACAACAGAGGCGGTCAGCCTCAACAAGGTCAAAGCTAATTCAGTATCCTAATAAGTCTATAACTATTGGAGTTAATACTAATCTCCCAGTAAAGAATATTTTAATACCGTGGCCCGCTAGCTGGAAGAACATTTCAAGGGTTTCACTGAACGACAAACCCATCTTTTTACGGCTATGAATGAATCATAATGTAAACCTCTTTCTATATTAACATCTATGGAAACAATAAACAGCATTGCATCATTTATAGGGTCACTTTCAGTGATTCCAAACCAGAAACTAACAAGTATCATCAGCATCAAAGGATCCCGCCAAGGTGAAATAATTTCCCAAATGACACAACGCTTGAGTAGGTTTCTACTTAAGGCCTTTTGATCCAATGGAGAGAACTGATTGGTAAGTTACTTTTTCTCTTTAATGTTTAATACAATATCATTTAAAAATTTCTTAACAGAGTAGTTTTATTTTTTTTGACATGACAACCCTGTGTTCTTTTTTTCTAAGGCGACAACAGCGCTGGACCCCTAACCTTTCACTGAAGTTAATCTTCATCCTCACTTTCATCACCATGTAAGTTTTACAGCAGGTGTAATAATTAGTCCCCTTGTTCATTTATTTAAAGCCTTTCTTTAGCTCTCAGGATTAGGTAGATGATGTTCCAGATGATTGATGTTTGGCAGATAATGTTTCAAAGCAGAAACTGAGTTTGAAAAGCTCAAGAAAAATAGCATGTTTTGTGTAAATTGGTAAATGTTGTTGCTAGCTATAGAGAAATGTATTTCTAGTAGACAGTTAAATAAAAAAAATGAAAATAACAGAATTACTTGAAATGGATATTAATTTGAAGTATACCAAAGATCTGTCGGACAAGGTGCTAAGAAACTGGTATTGTGTTATGTTTTAAAATAATGTCTCATGCATTTTTCACTAAACAACAAAATCGGATAAAAAGGTGGGTTACACAAGCACAAGCCTACACTCCAGTGTGTGGCCGACACAAGACTGCTGAAGCAGAACACAATATGCTGGTCCCTGGACATGAGATGTTCCGTCATAAGGGAAGAAATGGAAATTTTGAGAAGAGAAGGAGGAAGATGAAAGAACCCAAGGGGAGTTGCATGAAAAAAAAAAGGATAAGACACAATGCTTGAGAAGTCTGAGGAGGAGAGCTGAGCTGGAGCAGAGACATGGATTGACCTTGGGGTAGCTTGGCCAATTGTGAGGATATACGCAGCAGATCTGCAGAGATAACTCTAACTGCAGCCAGGTTAGCTTGATGTCCTGTGGCTATAAGTGACAGGACTCATGGAATGCTATTTTCCTCTGATTTGTAATTGAGAACCTCTCCAGACTGTGCTGGGAATACAAACACACTTAATTGGAGAATGGTTGCTAAGGATGTTTCTAATGTCTATTACATTTTCTGCTCCAGTTAAATGATTTAATTGATTCTGTGCTGGGTTTTTTGTTTGTTTGTTTGTTAACATGGTAATAACAGAGTTTCTAGACCTCAGTTCAATTTAAAACCTTATTATTTGTTTATATTATTATTATTGTTTAGAGTCTCATAGTTTCACAATGAAGAAGGGATTCAAAACTGAATAAAGGGAAAGAGAAGAAGCATTTATATAGCTCCTACTGTGTGCTGGGCACTGTGCTAAATGCTTTACAAATCTCTCATTTGATCCTTACAACAAACCCAGGAGGCAGGTATTAGTATTATCGCCATTTTACAAATGAGGAAACTGAAGCAGACAGATTAAGTGACAGAGTGACACAGCTAGTAAATGTCTGAGGCTGGATTTGAATTCAGCACTTCCTGACTCCTGACCCAGCCCTCTACCTGCACCACTTAACCATATACTTATTTCCAAAATACCTACATTAAAACCAGCAATCCATGGGAACTCCCTACTAGAATGGAAAACAGGCTATATAAATAAACTTTTACAATTAAAAAGTAATTCATTCATCATGCCTTTAATAACTTTTAAGTTACTCTATGCTGTATGCCTTCCAGTATTTCCACTCTTTTGATTCCATTTATCTTTGTATTTCCTTGTGTTTTCTCTTTCATGCTGTTTTAGGCAATTTACACTATTCCTTTTGTTCTGCTTTCTTCACTTGGCATTACTTAATTTTCTCAATTTAAATCTTTTCTTCGCATTTGTCTATTTTAATGGCATCGTAATATTTTATTTGATTGATAGGACATGATTTATTCAGTAATTTTGAGATATCTAGGTTGCTTCTAGTCATTGGTATAATAACACTGAGATATAGTAGATAGAAGAGATAAAATATATGTGTATATATGTACACACATATTATATGGATTTAAGCACATATGTGTGTATTTATCTTTTTTACCTCAATAGCTCTTTTTAATTTATTGATGACACTTTTTGGGTCTATTCCCAATAATAGGATTATTGGATAAAAAAGCATAACTAGGTTTGTAACGTTCATTGTATCCCACCAGATTGCTTTCCAAATCTTCACGTGTCAAAAAGTCAAGTCAAAAAATTTGCTTCTGCCCAATGCTGAGCTTTGTCACCCAAGGTTGTTTTCTGCAGCATTATTTTAGGTATTATGGAGTAGTGGGGAGAGCCCTGGGCTTAGAGAGTAGAAGACCTGAAATCACACTTTGCCTGATACATTTAAAAGCTGTGAGACCATGAGCAAGTCACTTAACCTCTGTCTGCCTCAGTTTCCTCATTTGTAGAATGAGGATAGTAATGGCACCTACTCCACTGGGTCATTGTGAGTATCAAATAAGATAAGGAATGTAAAGCACTTTGCAAATGGTAAAGTACTAAATAAATTCAAATTTAATATTATTGTCTTGCCACTGTGTTAAGGAGTAGAGGTGGGTAGAAGAGTGGCTATTATGATTTCAGATGAGGTAACAACAATAATTTATGATGTTGAAAGAGGTAAATAAGGAAACTACTACTTAAAGGTACCATAGACAAAGAAACTATAGTTTTAAAATATATATCCTTAAATTGCATATTTGTTGTTCAGTCACATCAGACTCTTTGTGACCCCAGTGGACCATATCACTCCAATGCTGTCCATGAGGTTTTCTTGGCAAAGATACTGGAGTGATTTGCCATTTCCTTCTCCAGTGGATTAAGGCAAACAGAGGTTAAGTGACACACAGCTAGTAGGTGTATGAGGCTGGATTTGAACTTAGGTCTTCCTGACTCTAGGCCTAGTATTCTCTCTACTGAACCATCTAGCTGCCTCTAAATGGCGTAGTGTGTAAGTTCTAAAAGGAAAACATAAAGGTATTTGAAAAAACTAACATAATTAAGAAATATTTTAATATGCCTTTCTTTCAGAGTAAGACAAATCTAACAGAAAGATAAATTTTAAAAAATAAAACCCTAACAAATGATTGGAAAAAATAAGTTTAAAAAACTTTTGATGTTTTCTGAATGGGAATACAAAAAAAGGTCATATTTCTGAGCATCACTAATAACTTTACAAAAGTTCATCAGAACACGAAGATATCCTAACTATAAAAAGGCAGAAATATTAAATGCATATTTTATAGGCTATAACTCAAGAAAAATAGTAACTAATAAAGAGGAGGCAAAGAAACAGACTTAAATGAAGGCCAAGTAATAATAATGCTTCTTATTTATTTTCCTTTGTGAAGTCACCTTGGGTTTCTTTTTGGTTTAGATAATTTTATTTATCCCCCTTCTTTTGGTCAGGTTAGCTAGTCTTTTCAAGGAAGCATCTTTTAATTTTGCTTATCAATTCTATTGTTGTTTTCCACTTTATCTATTTCTCTAATTTTCAGATTTTCCTTTTCATGTGTTTGTTAATATTTTAGTTTTTAATTGCACATTAGTTAATTAATCTTCCTTGTTTTAAAAGTATATTTGGTTCATTCATCCTATTTTGCTAATGTATACTTTCAGACATAAATTTTTTTCTTTTGAGAGCTGTTTTTAGCTATATATAGTAATATCATATCACTTACATATTCTGGGACTTGTTCATATTTGGTCTATAGTTATAAAGGCACCACCACTGAGAAATATGTACACTCTTTAATGTTTCAATTCAGAAGATATTATAAGTTTTCCAGTTCTAAATTATTCAGCAATTTGTTCAGGTATATATTTTCATTTAAAAAAATCTTCTTTTAGATTTGTCCAGCAGGGAGAAACAGAAAAAGAGAGGGACAGAAAGAAAGAAAAAAGGTCACCTATAACTATTCTGTTACTGTCTATATCTTTTTACAAGTAAAGTTATATCATTGCCTACATATATGTTTAATATTGATATTGGTTCATTGTCTAGAGTTCTTTTCAGTAGTTTTCTTGTTTATCCTTCTTGATAGTGTAAATTTTTATTTTTCGTTTTATCCAATAGCTTGATTTCAACTCCTGCTTTTTTCTTTGAGTGACCTAATATATTGTAATTTCTGTTTGTTCCAGTCACTCATTTTCACCTGTGTACATGTCTATTTTTAGATGTGTTTTTTTCTGCTGTTCTCTGTAGTTTTATTGGGTTGTTTAATCCTTTCTCTTCTAAAATTATAATTATTAGGTTCATGCTTTCCACCAGTTTATTTCATACTAATTTTATCACCTTCTTCTCTTAAGTCAAAACTTTGTCCTCATGATTAGTTTTGCTTTTATTTATTTGAGGCTAGTCTTTTCCGATAGGCTTTTTCCCTCTGCCCCTCTTTATCTGATTTACTTCAAGTTTTTAAAATGAACTTAAATTTCTAATTTAGCTTTCTTTTTTCTTTGTCTACTTTTCCCTCTCTTTGACCATCTGCTGTCTGTACTCATTTTTCAAATCTTCCTTCCCTGTTGCACACCCCTTCACCTCTTCGATTACAATGTTTTGCCACATACTTTTCCAAGAAGTTTTCCTTTGCTTAATCTTCATTATTTCTCTTCCCTTCCAGTCTATTCCAAATTTTATTTTCTGATTCCTGGGTTACTTATTATTCCTTTATTCTATGTCCTTCATGAAGCTAAAGTCTCTGAAATACCAGGCTGAGCTTCTTCTTCTGTCCCATTTGTGTATTATTGCCTTTGTAGACCTTAATTCCATCCTGCTTGTTTTTTTTTTAAACTGTGCTTCACTCTTCAACGTTGAATAAAAATAGTGCTGTGTGGTGGGAGTCATTCTGTGTCCCAAGTCATGAGGTCCAGAACTACCCCATCCAAGCCATCCAAATCATAATCAGTATCTATTACTAAAGCTATGTTATCTCTAGTTCTGTGTCTCCCCCAACCCCAACACACACACACACACACACACACACACACACACACACAACATACCCTACCATTCTGAATATAAATCCAACTTTTTTTTGCCTTCCCTCCTCCTTATTCTTTAAGTTCCCCTTAAATCCTTAATCTTTTAGGTCCCCTTTATCTCTTAATAATCCTACCCTGTTCTTGCTTTTATCCCAAAGATTAATCTCTTTTTAAAAAAAAAAAACCTATAAATATGAAAGAAAATTTATTTCATAAATGAGTATTTTCTTGATAATTGTACTTATTTCCCTTTGGTGACCAATGACAGCCATT